GTTGAGCATTCATCCGGGAGCTACAAAAATGTATCAAGATTTAAAGAATTTATTTTGGTGGCCTGGAATAAAGAGTGATGTGGCTCGGTTTGTGTATGCATGTTTAACTTGTCAGAAATCGAAAGTTGAACATCAGAAGCCTGTAGGGTTGATGCAACTGTTAGAAGTTCTAGAATGGAAATAGCATAGCATTTCAATGGACGTTGTAATAGGATTACCTAATACTTCCTGAGGGCATGATACAATTTAGGTGATTGTTGATAGGTTTACAAAGTCAGATCATTTTATTCATATTAACACCAGTTTTCCAGTATCAAAGTTGGCAGAGATTTATACTAGTGTAATTATGAAACTGCATGGTATTCCTTTGTGTATTGTTTAGGATAGAGATCCGAGGTTTACTTCTGATTTTTGGAAGAGTCTGCAAGAGGCATTGGGTTCTAAGTTGAGGTTGAGTTCGGAGTATCATCCTCATATGGATGGTCAGACAGAGAGAACTATTCAGTCGTTGGAGGATTTGTTGAGACCATGTGTTCTTGAATAGGGAGATTCGTGGGACACTTATCTTCCATTGATAGAGTTCACTTATGATAATATTTACCATTCTAGTATTGGAATGACACCTTTTGAAGCGTTGTATGGTTGGATATGTAGAACTCCTTTATGTTGGCATGAGTCTGGAGAAAGTGTAGTACTTGGACCTGAACTTGTTCGAGAAACTACCGAGAAGGTGAAGTTAATTCCGGAAAAGATGAAAACTTCCCAAAGTAGACAGAAGAGTTATCATGACAACAAAGGAAAGAATTAGAATTTCAAGAGGGTGACCATGTGTTTTTGAGAGTCACACCTGTGATTGGTGTTGGGCGAGCATTGAAGTCTAAGAAGCTTACTCCTTGTTTTATTGGTCCGTATAATATTTTGGACAGAGTTGGGAATGTTTCTTATAGAGTGGCTTTACCGTCCAACCTTTAGAATTTGCATGATGTGTTTCATGTGTCATAACTCCGGAAGTATATTTCAGATTCATCTAATGTGATTCATATGGATGATGTTCAAGTAAGGGATAATCTCACTGTGGAGACGATGCATGTATGAATCGCGAATCATGAAATGAAGACTCTAAGAGGAAAAGAGATTTCTTTGATGAAAGTAGTCTGGTTAGGAGCTGCCGGAGAAAGCATGACGTTGGAGTTGGAAAGCAAGATGCGGGAATCCTATCCCGAGTTGTTCGAACAAGGTAAATTTTTCGAGGACGAAAATATTCTAAGTGGGGGAGAGTTGTAACGCCATATATTTAATTAATTATTTAATTAAATATTTTTGAATATTTTTCCGATTAAATTTTTGAAGTTGTGAAATATTGATTTAAGTTGTATCGTTCTTAGTTGAATTAATTTATTTGATTAAGTTGTAGAAATAGTATTAGAATAATACTATTACTAATTAAGTGGGTTTTTAATGTTAAAATTAGTAGAAATGGAGGTGTAGGAATTTAAGCCCAATAAGACAAAAATAAGAATAATAGTATAATAGTTATATTATAGTAGAATTAGAAGTAGCAGTAAGAACAAAATAGGTTTCTGGCAATAGAAGAGAAATAAAGATTAGAGAAGAGATACATGGAAACAGCAAGAAGAGGCAAATTTAGGAGTCAGAGCAACCTTGAATTCAAGGTAAGGGTGGAGTTCTGACTCTATATTAGGGTATATGATTAATATTATGTGGAGATTGGGTTGTATGAAATTTCTACTGTGTGTAAATGTTGTTGAGAAATATGCTGAATCGTTGTCTATTTTCATGTTGTTATCTGTGTAAAATTATCGTCTTTGTAAAATTGTTGTTTCGGTGAAAATTGATGTTGCTGCAATTATATATTATTTTGACATGAGACCGGTAATCGGAGTAAAAGTATTCAAGGTTCTTTGTTGAAACTATGTAAAAAGCATACGATGTCAAAGGGCACAAGGTGTGCTGAAGGGCGCACTTGTTTTGTGTGTGTCGTGTGAAGGTAAGTTGTGCCAAGGGGCACAAAAGTTATGCTGAGGGGCATGGAAGGTTCTAACATAATAGTTTTAATTATATCTCGTTAAAGTAGTATATTAGGTAAAGTACAATATGAGTAATAGCAGAATAATAATTAATTTCAATAATGAGGCCACTTATATTTGGTGAGTCATTAGTAAATAATTAGTGATAAGCTACAATTATTTAGTTATAAAATATTATACTAGTAATCATTTAGTAATTAGTAATATGTTAATCATGAACTTTGTATTATATATATATATATATATATATATTCAGTAGAGTTTCCAGTAGCAATATTGGTAAAATGAAATAGCAGAAAGATGATTGCAAAGTTAGTATTGATATATTAGAGTTATTAATTTGGTAGAACACCTTAGTAACTGATGTGTACAATTTAATAGCAGATGCAATAATTTATCAGAGGATTGCCAGTAGAAGTGATTATAGTAGATTTGTTCGATTAATTACGCGGGATGTCATAGCATATTTTGATTAATACGGTGTATTGTATACTACGTTATAATTTGAGAATTGGCAGGTGATGATGAATTTTGTTGAGATGCCTCTAATTATTGGCAAATATCCAGTTGTTGTCATTGTGTGTTATTGTTGCTGTTGTTGCTTTTAATTATGTTGTCGCATACATATCATATCAAGTTGGAAGCTAATGCTCGGTAAGTTATCTTGGATTGGCGAGATTTGAAGTTGAAGGCTTATATCTTGTTGGTGCCTCTATTAATTGGCAGATTATTAAGTTTGGAGTTTTGCTCCATTGGTATCACATGCATTTGCATCGTGACATGTCCCATTTCATGTTTCATCTTGAGTTGTTGTGATTATGAATTGGTTGTGATATTATATTGATGACTTGGTTGTAATGGATGTCGTTTAAAAGCTATGAAGCGGTGACTTTGTATGATTTGATTTTAATATATTATTTATCATACATCCGATTATATTGTTTGATATATCATCCCTTCTGTTTGAATGTTACCCAATGTCGGCAACATGCATGTAATCCAGAGTGAAGGTTGTGTACCTCCAGTGGTTCGAGTTAGTGTCGTTGTTCTAATACGTAACACTCGGGGGGATGAACGCTTATTGCTTTATTGTTGATTTTACTTTCGTTGCTGAATTTTAAGTTGTTTTCGTTAAGAACTTGTTGTTTTGAAGTTGTTTTCAGTTGGACAAGGATGTTATGTCATTTGAGTTGAACATTTATGATTCTGCTGCTTAATTATAAAAGTTGTTTTAAATTTTTAAAGACTAAATAGGTGGCTATCAGTTTATCTGAATTTTATGTGTTATGTATATGTACTATAGGCGTTTAAATGTCGTTGTTTCTATGTTGAAAGTGTAACATTCAATTTGTTTGTTGGAAATTTTGTAACTCTGATTTTATATTAATTCGTTGAGTAGAAATGGGGTGTTACAAACTCTATCAGCAAAAGATGACTGTCCCAAGCAACTCCTTGATCAAGGACACAAGCTCTTAACAAATCCTCAAATGACTGAATAGTTCTCGCTGTCTAACCATCTGTCTGTGGATGATAAGAAGAACTCAATCTCAACTTAGAACCCAAATCCTCCTGCAAACTCCCCCAAAATCCTGATGTAAACCTCGGGTCTCTGTCAGAAACAATACACAACAGAACCACATGTAATTTCACAACCACACGAATTTAAATCTCTACCAACTTCTGCAAAGGAAACTGATAATAATCTAAATTAAATGAGTCAATTTTGTCAACCTATCTACAATCATCCAAATCACATCATGCCCTCTCAGATTATTCGACAACCCAATCACGAAATCCATTGAAATGCTATCCTATTTCCACTCTAGAATATCCAACTGTTGCATTAACCCTGCAAATTTCTGATGCTCAACTTTCGACTTCTGACAAGTCAAACAAGCATGCACAAAGTTCTCCATGTCACGCTTCAATCTCAGCCACCAGAATATTTTCTTCAAATCGTGATACATCTTAGTAGCTCCCGGATGGATAATCAAGCTACTCAAGCTACTCACGTTTCTAGATGTGAAAATGTGAAGGGAATAACCTCTATTTATAGGCTAGAGAGTGGCACATAAAAAAGAAAATCTCCTGCCTGTAACAGGCTCATTAACCCGGCCTAGCAAGTATTCCTTGGAGGAAAAGGTTTTGATAAGGTTTTTGTGTGTTGCTTGGTGTTTTATCAATCCTTGCTCATTTTTGGTTAATGTGCAAGTACAAATTCAAACTGATATTTTATCACTTTTCATTGATAAATAAAAAATTTTCTAACGATTACTAGTGAAATAAGTAAATAAATACCTATGTATTTTGCATAATTTTGGAAGGTATAAGTAATCTCCTTCTACTAATATAAAGTCACAATATTAAAGACTTTTCATTATTAAAAAGGTTATGATCGCCTTTTTTTTTTGCCAATTACTTTCATTGACATTCTATTTTATTTTTCTCAAATTTACTACCGGATTATATTCTCTCTTCTTATTTAATTATATTTTATGTCTTTTTAAATTTCATTTTTGTTATGTTTTTTCTCTCTCTTTGATTTAATTATTATGTTTAGTTTACAGAAATTTACATCCATTGTTATAAGTTAAATACTAATAGGTGTTAAGTCTAATCGATTATATAATTAAGAATTTCTATAAGAGAAAATACATGTATTACCATCTTAAATACAAAGTTACAAAAGTTATTTTATTCTCTTTATAGAAATATTTTATTATTGGATATAAAATTTATAATTAAAGTATTAAATTTAAAAGAATCAACTTTATTAAAATTATAACCATATTATATTAGAACAACAAAATATATTATAGATTATTTATAAATTAAAATAAATTATTATTTTTTTAAATACAAGATGATTATAACAACATCAAATAGAATTAACGGAAATTGTTATATCATACATATATTGGTATAGGTCCCGAGCTTTTTCTAATATCGAAATCAAGCAACGACCTTACGATCATGATCGACGACAACATCTGAAACAAATTTTGTCCAAAACCAATGAGACTTCCACACTTTATTCATTTCTTCAATTGGGACATTATTTGTCTCGGGAAAAAACATGACAATGAAAATTGTCATTATAAGCACAAAGCCAGCAAAGAAGAAGAAAAGTCCAAACTTCAAGTGACAAAGCATAGTAAGAAAAATTTGAGCAATGGCAAAGGTGAACAACATGTTCACAGCAACATTGGTAGCTTGACCTGCAGACCGAACCTCAAGAGAGCATATTTCACTAGGAACTAACCATCCCAACGGACCCCAAGACCATGCGAATGCGGCAACATACAAACATATGAAGAACAAAAGAAGATTAGCTTCAATATGTGTAAATGAGCCTTCACCGCTAACTCCAAAATTAATAGCAATCATGCTTCCCACAATAATCTACAATCAATAACCATAACATTTTCATTAGCTATGCTTGGAAAACAGACAATTTGAATGGAAAATATAAATAATTAATTATTAGTTAGTTGCAATAGTCACCTGACAAATAAACATTTGAACACCACCTTCAAGAAACAAAATTTTCTTCCAAACTTATCCACTGTGAAGATGGAAACAAAAGTAGCAAGAACATTGACACCTCCGGTAATTACTGCGGACATGAGGGAAGCATTGTTTCCAAAGCCCAAAGTCTTGAAAAGGACAGGGGCATAAAACATGATAACATTGATTCCCGTGAGTTGTTGAAAGAATGGAATGAGAGAGCAAAATGTTAGTTGAGGTCTATATCTTAGTTGTGTAATATTCTTCCATGGATGTTCCACCTTCTTGGCTTCCTCGCTAGCATCGATTAGATCTTGGAACTCCTCATCGACATTATCAATGCCACGAATCTTTTGCAACATTTTCTTAGCTCCTTCTTTTTGGCCCCTTTCAATCATAGAGTTTGGTGTGTCTCCTAAGAAAAAAGATCCTATACACAACAAAATTGCAGGGACAGCTCCGATACCCAAAGAAATTCTCCATCCACTCTCAAGACCAGAAGTAAAGTAGTTGATAATGTTTGCCCCTAGGATTCCAATAGTTATCATCATTTGGAAGCCCATGTTGAGTGCACCTCTAATCTTTGCTGGAGCCATTTCAGACAAATACACTGGAACTGACTGTTTATGAGTAACAAAAAATTATATGCAATTAAACTTGCAATATTCTTGATCATTTATACATAAAAACATAAAAGCATAAAAGTGATAACAATTTTTACCTGATTACAATATCCTACACCAAAACCAAGTAATAGGCGACCAATGATAAGCATTTCAATGTTGATAGCAAAACCATTAAGCAATGCACCAATAAGGAAAAACAAGCCACCTGTAAACATTGAGGCCTTGCGTCCTAACATTCTTGTAGTTGTGGAAGCAAAGAAAGAAGCTATTAAAGCTGCAAGATACAAAGAAGATGTGAACAAAGTAAGGAGCTCGTTATCAAATTTGCAATATTGACTCTCGTGTCCAGATTCATCTTTCATTTGTTTGTAAACACTGGGGAAGAATTTAACCAAGAATGGTTCCATGGAAGTTACTCCTCCTGTAATACCAAGATCATAACCAAAAAGTAAACCGCCCATAGCCGCCACTAAACATGTGACCAAAACAAACATTGTAACCTTCCCCTCATATTGTCTTCTATTTATTGAAGTAACTAAAACTCCACCCGCCATCGTTTAAATTTGTGTATCTTAAAATTTAAATATTTCTATTATGAAGATTTGTTTTCAATTTCTTTCTACACATATTAGGTGATAAAATTTTTGATTATTTTATAGTGTCAATGATTTCTAATAAAATAGTAGGAAGCCGTTAAATGACACATAATTTTTTTCAACAACACATTATAAATTTAGCATTTTTAATCGTTAGCATTCTTGTAAATTGTTAAGTTATGAGCATGATTTTGTTAGATTTGGTGTCAATACACTATTATAAGGATTTGAGATTAGAGATAATTCTTGTATTGAATTATCAAACTTAATGGTATCATAAACATGGTTAAATAAATCTCAAGTGACACTTTGTTAATCTATTTATAGTATAATGGAACAATTAAAAATTTAGTTGAGTCTCATTTTATTACAAAAATAAGTTTTTAAATTTTTTTAATGTAAAGTCTCTCTTTTTTTATTATTTTTAATTTTAATTTAATGTGTTTAAAATGGTAATAAAAGATATAAATTCTTTAACCATTCAAAATCACATGCAACTTGCAAACCATTACAAAAGACCAAAATGAAAAAATATAATTTAATTGACGATATTATTATTTTTAGATATAATTTACTCAAAAAATTTCATACGGCTATTATTTGGGACCATTTGTTTCCGTTTTAAAAATTATTTTATAGTAATATAAATTTTGGTAAGAAAATAAAAAAAAGTTTCTTTTACTATAAATTTATTAGAAATTAATGTTTTTTAAAAAAATCATTTATATATGAAGCTATTTTAAAATAATTTTCCTAAAAACTATTTTTGAAATAATTTTTTAAAAATAATTATGCGGTTTTAAAATCATTAGTAGTGAATATTATATTACAAAATGTCAAGATTACTTTTTTAGTTTATGAAAATGAGTTTGAAAAAACTTATACTATTTTAAAAAAAAACTTATAAAATAGTTTTTTTAAATAGAAAAAGAACACTTTTTTAAAATCTAAAATGTATTTGAATTTTTAGCCATTAAATATATTGATTTTCCGATTACTTTCTTTTCTTATCTTTTCATTTACAAACAAAGCATAAGAATATATATATATATATATATATATATATATATATATATATATATATATATATATATATATATATATATATATATATATATATATATATATATATATATATATATATATATATATATATATATATATATATATATATATATATATTGTTTATGTATAATTTGGTAGTATTTTATAATATTTTATAAAATATATTATTGTCACTCATAAGATAAAATTTACAATATGGATTAAACAATTTCACATAAAAGTTTTATGATAAAATGGGAAGATGAATTGTAATTGTAATAAACAATAAAAAGTGTAATTCCATTTGTGGAATAAAATTTTCAAAATTAAAATTACAACTCACTGAATTTAATACTTTTTGTTTATACTGTGGAATATAAAAATTGTATTACTGGAATTATTTAATATTACTAATACACAAATGTTAGGTATCATTTACAGAGAATTATTTTTTCATTTTTTAATTGTTTTTTTTTTCTTCGTGTTTTTCTTATTTCTCTTTTTTTTAGATTCTTTCTGACATGGAATTTTCTTATCAAAATTATGAATTAGAGTTTTCTACACTAAAACGAGAAGAACAATACATTAATTATATAAAATAGAAGAAGATAAAAGATATTTTTATTTTATTCTTGATATTTTTCAATGTCTCATAGAGATTACATATATAATACTCCTAATAGATAATTAACTAAAGGTCTAAAATCTATTAAAAGCCCAAAAGATCTCAAGAATATTCTAGAAAATATAATAATATAGAATAATTTCAAATACATCAAAATACTAATAAAATGTATTTAAAACTAATAATAATTTATTATATTTAACTCTTTATCATTGTTGTCAGATTCCCTTGAATCTTGTGTTCAAAATTCAAAAATTATTCCCAAATCTCTTTGCTTAAACTGAACAATCATAACATGTATTGTCCCTCTTTTCTTAGAAATCAACCTCTCTGATTTAAATCTCAAACAATATTTTCCCCATATTTCTTCTATTAGAAAATCCTTGGTTGGATTACTTTCAGGACCGTTTTGAAGTTCCTTTTCATAGGAATTAAGCATTTCAACTAACCTAGCAGTACAATGCATTTGTTTTTCTTCAGAATACTCTTAAAAATCTCAAATCAGAAGAATATTTCTAAGAGAATCTCTAGAAAGAGCAACAATTTGCATAAAAATAGACATAGCATCTGTCAAAGATGACAGATTGGCAGGCAAATTTTCCAACTCCTTTAAATTATTATTAAGCTTCTCATTAATCTTCTTTGTAATCTCCGACAATGTTTTTGATATAATCATAGCTTGGACATGAACAAGTTTTTGTGCCAGGGCAAGAAATCCAACAATACACTTGTCTATTTTAGAAAGGAGCGAATGAGACTCAAAAAGCTTATGCTCTTCATTTCTAGCTTCTTCGTAAGATTCATCGCCAATTCGATTCCTTACACAAATATAACCAAGGCTTGTGTTAACATCGTCAACTTTAACCTTCTCCAACAAACCTTCAGGAGACCTGTCAGCTTTTGTAACGACAACCAAAGTTCTCAATCCCGTTTTATCAACAGAATGAGACATCTTAATGGACTCACATGTTGTGAAATCAACAATAACCGAAAGAACATTCAACATAATGCTTTCTTCAGGAGTTATATACTCCATGATGATATCCTTGATTTGATCATAGATATTATATGGCTGACCATGAACAAGTACACGAGTAATTCTTGGAAGATCCATCATAGTTAAATCAGGCACATTGTTCTTCTTCACAATCAAAGTCAAAGGGTTGTTGGAAACTCCTTTTTGCAGTACCAGTACGCTCTTCAGTAGTTGTGTTGATAACATCAGAGACATTTGCTTCATCGGTTGAAACATTCTTGTCGTTATATTCTAATACAAGCTCTGGCTCTCGAACGTTTCTACATATCATTTGAATAAAAAGTTAAAAAGCTTCCAATGCCTGTCCATTTTGAAGATAAGCAGTTATCAAGGTGTTCCACGAACCAACATTTGTTGTTTTTCGAGCATCTATCATGGCAAAAACCGAGGCAGCTAATCTTACACCACCATATTTATGATAGATATCCAAAAAGGGTTGTCTCAAAAATATCATGACACAAACCGTATCCATTTATGTTATTACTCTTCCAACCATCTTGTGTCACCTGATGCTTAAACTTTGACAAGAGTTCACAACCACATCTCTCATAGAGATAATTAGCAAGCAAATGCAAAGAAAGATCAATATTGATTTCTATATACCAAAGATTATAGAAAAGATATTACATGTTGGTAGCATAAGCCTTTTGCAATATAATAAACAAGTGCTCGTCATCTATGAAATTTAGACAAGCCTTCTTCAAAATATCACCAACTCTAATATCATAAACTTGAGGCAACCTTAGAAGAGTAACTTGACTAGGATAAGGCATCGACAAAAATTCGTTTAGGAGTTCTAGATGATCTCGTATATATGTAAGCAAGGAGGTAGGGTCAGCAAGAACATAAAATTTGATACTGGGAACTCTATGAATTAAAGAAGAAGAAATGTTTCCATGGACATAGAAGTGATTATTTTCAACACAATTCTTCTTACTTTTGCAATCAATTATCACCACACAATTCAGAAATGTAAAAAGGAAATTGATCGAAGAAACATGCTTCTCAACATGTAATATTATAACAATAGGCTCGACTATAAATTTTTTATGCATAGCATAATTACCTATAGTTTGATTGGCTGTATTGCACAAGTTGGGTTTCCTTACAGATTCTTACCCTGCAAATAGCAGATGGTTCCAACAAAATTTATCCGAAAGATTATAAGGATATACTGTACAACATTCTCGAGAGCGTCGAGAAAATAGGCACAAATGATGATGTATCATCTTACTAGAGTTTTGAACGAAGAGTTTTTGATTTGGCTTAGATATGACGACGCAGATAACTCATCAATATCTAAAAGAGATTGTAGATTTTTTGCATATTTACCATAATCTAGAGGGTAAATAATACAAGTTTGAGAGTTGATTTACGAATACTTTGAGACTAATATAGTAAGTTTATAATGCAAATTTTGTCTATTCATCGCAACCTAGGGGATGAATAAAGTATATTTTTGATAACGCATCGATGCATAGAGAATGATGCGATGAATCATACCGCAAATTTTGTTATGTTTACTATAACCTAGGGAGTAAACAGTATGAGGATGAACATGTGCATTTATCACAACCTAGGGGATAAAAGACAACATGGGTGGGCTTATGTTATTCATCACAACCTAAAGGATGAATAGCATAGCCCTGAAAATTCTCATACCTATCACAACCTAGAGGATAGATATTTTAAGAATTTGTGCATTTACCCCGACCTAGAGGATAAACGACATAAAGATAGATTCACGTACTCATTGCAACCTAGGGAATGAATAATATGAACCTGGTAATTCGCACACCTACCACAACCTAGGGGGTAGATGATTGAAAAGTGTTTTGGTGATTAAATCTTAGATAACTAGATCAAAGTTAAGATCAGAGTTTTACCGGTTGTGTCTGTTCTCAACCAAGGTAATTGCTTGCTTTGATAATCTTACAAAGGGCCCCAAGATGTTTGTTTTACCCGAAGTGTGTTTGAAAAATGCCATGTATGATGTATATGCATAATGTCCTAGATTGATATGGAACCCATAATATATATGCATCAAGTATTTTGTGTATCCCCAAATGTTTAGATATGTATCAAATGTATGTATATGCCCCAAAATATAATGAATTTTTTTCCCGATATTCTCTCCTTCTAAACCATTAGTTTTGTGTTACCAACTCCCCAATATTGCATTTTTGCGGTATCTTTGAATTGATCTGAATCATATGAAAGGCTTCAACAAGATCTTGATATTTGTATCGCAGGCGCAAGCATAGGCGTGCATGTAGTTATTATGGACGCATGCGTGGATGTATATACACGTGGACGTAGGCGTGGATATGGGCGTAGATTTTCTTTTGATGTTTTTCTAACCAAAATGCTTTTTGATGTTATATCAAATGCTTCTATTTGTCAAATCCCAAAAATGATTTCAACGCAATATTCACAAAGATAATCATAGTATTTTGCAAACAAGTCTAAAAAAGAAAAAAACACAATTGAAAGAACATTGTTGGAACCATCTTCTAGCCACCTCGTCGGGTAGAAATTCCTAAAAACCCTAGAAATAGCGTCCTTCAGCTGCTCTCTGACATATGAGGATAAATAGAAAATACCATTAACTTCGAACGCTGATTTCACAACATCAACACTATCGCCTAGGAGCTCCAAATTGATGTTGGATGGGGTTAAGATTGGAACGAATGTTTGAGTAGCAATCGGAGAATTCGAACCAGCATCATCATCAAGGACCAAGGAAGAAAACTCGATCTCCTTTGTGGGGATGATAACGTCATTTGGATCCGTCGAAGAAAATTGCAACGATGACTCCCAGTCCTCGGGATCTGAGATGCCTTCTTCAATTTCTTGGTATTTTTCTGATTGTTGTTCTTGATTTGTGTCTGTGATACGGTGGGAGAACTGACTTGAAGGTTTTTGCGTTTTATCGCAAATTTTGCGGTCAACAAGAGTCGCCACCGACTTTTCTTTTATCCAAAAAGGAAAGGTGAAAAAGCACAGGAAAGACCTTCAGAGATGTTTTTTTGAGTTCGGGGGGTAGATTATGAAAAGGGAAGGTATTAGCACCCTCTTTATCCATGGTTTTCCATGGGCTCTTAGTTACTTGCTAGATCACTTGCTTTTGTTTGAATGTGTGCTTGTGGTGGTGATTTTTGAAAGTATTTTGAAAATGGAACTTCGTAATGGTTCTCGTTTCTATGAGAACGCCTACAAAGTGTTTGTTTCGAAAAAAGTTCAAAAGTGTGTTTGTGAGATGTGTTTTTGAAAGTATTTTGAAAATGGAACTTCGTAATGGTTCTTGTTTCTATAAGAACGCCTACAAAGTGTTTGTTACGAAAATAGTTCAAAGGTGAGAGTGTGGGTGTATAAAATGTTTTTGTCGTGAGCAAGCGAGTAATTGAGAGTGAACCTACCTACTCGAAAGGTCTTAAATGTGCTTTTCCTCCTCCTTTAGATGTTGCTATCTTACCATTGATTTGATAAGAAGCCCCATCGTTGGATGTAAAGGGACGGGCGTTGGGACGTTTGTATAGTCATAGAAGGCAACATATGGGACGTTTTAGCAATATCATTTTAGGGACTAGATCGTTTACCGAAGGAAACATCGAGGGTCATCGAGGGACTACAATCTTTTTATCGAGGGTCTTTGCTAAAACGCCCATGCTCGAGGGACATGACTATTTTCCGAAAGGGGCAACAAGATGGGATTACCCTAAGGGTGCATGTGTGAATAGTATGTTAGTTTGCATGCATTTTGTCTTGTTTTTTCGAAAGTCATCTATTTGTTGATTTTATCTTACCATACATCTTATTTACTAGCAATATATGAAAAGCAAGTAAAAAGCGGAACGTAAAATCTAAGCTATTACATCACTTTAGGGGGATGGGGATACAATTTAACAATGAGGATGAAGTAGGAACTAGAATATTACAACCACATCTAATGATAATGAAAAGAATGTGAAAACATTGTAGAATAAAGGAAAAATGCATTTTGAACTGCTGTGTGTCGACCCATGCTACTATGCATCGACACATAGCTTTTCCCTGCCCCTGTAAAACAAAATTAGTTCAGTATGGGTCGACCCATAATGGGATGTATCGACTCATACACCTTTTGCATCGACGTGAAACGCGTATGTATCGACTCATAAGCCTTTCCAGCTTCTATAAAGTGAAATCTGTTCAGTATGAGTCGACACATAATGGGATGTATCGAATCATACACCTTTTTGCATCGACGCGAAATGCGTATGTGTCGACTCATAGTCCTTTCTAGTTTCTGTTTTATGACCTGAACTCAGTATGGGTCGATGCATGAGGGTCATGTGTCGACTCATACCTTGCATTTTCACTAAGATGGGTTGACACATGTGGATATGTGTCGATACATATTGCCTTTTTCTGCCTTAAACACCATTCTTTGCATACATCAGTTAGTTTTTAACATATAAATGAATAACATGAAAAAATGATTAACTTCAAAAATAGTGATTACTACATCCTATAAATAGAAAAATTGATGTATTGAAAAGGCAAGGTAAATATGACTTACCTTAAAACTGCACTTTAGGTTTTTGAATCCAAATACCCTTCAAGATGTTGTATGAACCTTAAGGAAGCTCCAACAGGCTGCTAGACTTCTTTTTTATTGAAGGTTACTAAACAAATTCTGTGTGGTATGAAATGTTTGGATGGTTATTAGATGGAATATGCAAAGTGTGAGAGGTTTTAAGGTTTATACTTCAAAACTCAAGAGTGGAAGTCTTAGGGACTGTTATGGCTTTTTTTGAAGGTTTATCAATAAAACTACTGGCTGTTCTCCTTGTTCTCTCTCTCTCTCTCTCTCTCTCTCTATTTTTTCTAACCTCATTGTCTTGCAAATGCTTCTTCTATTTATAGGCAAAGGACTTATGAACAAAGGCTGAATATGTTTACAACATAACATGTTATGGTTTGGTTGGGATGCAAGTATCAAACTATGTCAAGTACTCCATGGTTCCAAAATGAAGTAACAAAGTTGTTGGTTTAAAGGGGTTGACTTCCATGTTTTATGGTAGGGTAAAGTCAGAAAATAAACAAAGTATGGGCTGAAGACAAACTTTGTACAAAAAGTTTGCTTTTCAAGAATAGAAATGATGTCCTTATGCCATACATGGAAAGATCCTTTGGACAATGGCTTAAACACT